AATTGTTAGTGGAAATTTCTGTTTTGTTAAAGGGACAGCATGGCCTTATAAAAATAGGGAAGGTGAATTTTGATCTTTAGAAACTTGTTACATTGGCTATAGCAATTGTTTTTGCTTAGAGATAACTTGACTTCACAATATATGAATTTTACATACCTAAATTATCAGATACAACAATAATTTTTTTTAATATGATGGAAATGGAAAGAATATTTGTTCAATATTGTGCCATACCGGACTTGCTTATTCGAATAAGAGGCAGAAGGTCAGGACCATAGAGAAGCTTGAATATTTGCGTAAGGAGACATGTAACAATGGATTATTGCAGCATTGTTTCCAGTAGTAAAAACTGGAAACAAAATAAACGCCATTAACAGGAGGATAAGTAAATTGTGGTGTGTTCATATAATGGAATATTATTCAGTGGTTCAAATGGATGAGCCAAGTATATTAACATAGATATACCTCTAAACCAGTGTTGAAGTAAATAAAAACATTGCTCTATGTTAAGATTTAGATAACGATTTAGATCCTGTAAAACAATACTATATGTAACTTATGTATACATACATGGCAAACATATAAAAAGTACACAGAATGATATATACCAAATACAGTATAGTATTTGTTTCTGGAGAGAGAGGGAGGGAATGGGATTTGGTAGGATACCATATAGTGTATGTATGTTATGGTAAAATATTAAAATTTGTGAAATCCCAGTGGTAGGTACCCAGGTATTTTGTTATTCTTGACACTTTTCTGAAAACAAGAAAAAGAAAGTGTCAGAGAGGATGCTGGATGAATGGAGACATGAACGCTAACAGTAAAGGAAATCAAGTTATCCAGGTTAAGATAGGGGATGGGAGACTTGGAAGGCTCCATGAGAGGGGGTGATACCTGAACAGAATATTGGTGAAAATAAAGTGGAAAGGTGGTGTGAGGACTCAACATGTCTAATTCAGGTAAACATTTAGCTAATGATTTCTTTCCCTTGATATTTTTTAGAGAAATATGAAACGCAATGGGAGCAGAAATTGTTTGAATAGGAGAAGCAGGTTTGGTTCTCGAGAAAGAGATTGGCTGAGAGAAGATGTGAAGAGAGGCTGTGTGTACCTTTATGGAGCAGAAACAAACACTGCCACTACAACCGCCACCACCTCCCTCTCCTCTGACTTACATCTCGTCCTTTGCACAGTGGAGACACCAGCATCTGAAATATGTGCTGGAGAGGGAAGGGAAAGCCTTTATTTACAGCTTCATGGAGACTTGGTCAGGTAAGACCTGAGTTTTACCACTCTTATTCTACTGCAATATAAGTAATACGTATTTTTTGCTTAGAAGTGGATTTTAGGATTTAATTGTGCTGGAATTGATACTGATTATGGAGTCTTGAAAAAAGATTTGTCCTTGGAATGCTGACTTTATGATTCTCAAATTTAAAAGACTGTTGGTAAAGGAAATTTTGATAGTCATTTCTTTTGGATTATACATACCATGGATCACATATCTAAATTTAAAATAAATGTTTTAAACATTTATTTTTTGAAAATAATGCATGCAAATTAAATGAAATTGATACATGTGAAAGGATATACAGTGAGAAGTAAGTCTTCCTTTTACCCCTTTCTCCAAGTATCCAAACCTTTTCCTGACAGCAGTTCTTACGCCATTTTCTTATGCATCCTAAGGATAATTTTATTTATTTACAAGTATATGCTCATGCATGAATGTGTTTATTTATATGTAGATTTAAAAATTAATGGTACTCTATGCAACACACTGCTGAGTTAATATCTCTTAGAGATCTTTTCATATTAATATTTATATAGTTTTCATTTTTTTTAATGGCTATGTATAGTATTCCATTTTATGAATCTGCCATATTTTAGTCAGTCGCCTATTAACGGACATTTAAGTTGTTACCAGTTTTTTGGGGTTTTTTTTGCTGCTGTGGACATTAGTGCAACGAATATTCTTGTACCTATGATGTTTTTCATATATGGGAGTGTATCCGTAGGATAAATTAGAAGTGGAATTGCTGAGTCAAAGGATATGTGCATTTATAATTTTGATAGACGTTGTCAAATTCCTCTTCTTAGAGGTTTCCACTGATAACATAAAAGTATACGTGCTCCCCCTTACTTTCTCCAATATATATGCTAGTGTTAAAATTTATAAATAGATGCTTACCCATGCACAGGCATATACCTGCTTGTAAATAGAAATGATTGCGAAGAGTTGCTAAATTCAAGAATCATACAATCAACATTTCAAGGACAAATCTTTTTTCAAGTTCAGTGACATATAGTTGCAAATCTGATAGGAATTTTGTTTTAATCTTCATTTTACTTAATGAGTTAAGTTGAACGTATTTTTGTATGTTTAGGAGCCATGTGTGTTGTCTTTAAAATTTTTTTGTAAATGGAAAGAAAATATTCTCATAGTAGTCTTATACCATTCATATGAGCTCTTGATTCAGTTTTGTTTGGTTGGTTTTTAAAAAAATTATCTTTGAGTTCAACATCAAATAAAAACCAACCTAGTTGCCCTTGAGTCGCTTCTGACTTATGGTGACCCCATGTTTTTGAGAGTAGAAGTGCGCTCCGTAGGGTTTTCATGGCTGTGACCTTTTGGAAGCAGATTGCCAGGCCTTTCTTCCAAGGTGCCTTTGGGTGGGTTTGAACTGCCAGCCTTTTCGGCAACTAACCATTCACACCACCCAGTGACTCCAAACATAAATAAGAGCTCTTTAAATACCTGGTCATTGTCTTTCCCTCCTCCCCCTTCCCTATAGTAAATAAATGTCCCTCTTGAAATAGAATTCAAAGCTGTGGATTCAATTCTGTTCAAAGTGAGGAATCTCCCACTCACACCTGAAAAAGTGGTAATAATAGTAACGCCTTTTGCTGAGCTAAACATTGTTCTCATTTTAAAAGTCTAAACTGAGGTTTACTATGTGTTTCTTTTAGGATTTGGACTAATTCCTGAAAAAGTAGATTAGTGTTTTAATATTTTCCTTGTTCACCAGTTAACATGTTCAAACAACTACATTTCCTAAATCCATTTGTAAAACGAAAGGATCAGACTGGGTGAGCCTTCCAAAACAAAAAAAAAAAAACCTGTTGCCATCAAGTTGATTCCGACCCATAGCGGCCCTATAGGGTTTCCAAGGAGCACCTGGTGGATTCAAACTGCCGACCTTTTGGTTATCAGCCAAGCTTTGAACCATTGCACCACCAGGACTCTGGGTGATCTTTAGGCTTTTTAAAATCTTAACACTGACTCTGATCTAATTTTTATCAGGTGGAGAGCCTTGACCTAGATAACAGGTGATAGTGGCCGATGGAATTCACTTATTTAAACATTTGAGTAATTCATTTGTATACTAATGTGTATGTACCCAAAGATATTACAAATGTGAAGAAAACTCCACTTGAATTGGTTTGCTACTGCTAGTTGTGAAGTTAGTTCAGAAGCCAAATGATATAGTAGGTTGTTTACTTTTGTGAATCTAAACTGCATTTAGATTAGGGAGTTTGTCTCTTTTCAGGCCTCTGACCTTAATGATCTATAAAGAAATACCTCCCTGAGGATAAATTGATTAGAAAATAATGAAAACACTTAGAACTGTGGTTTAAAATAATGAATATATTTTCATTACTGGAATAGAAGCTCAAGAAGTCTCATCTAGCCAAAGAAGAAGAATAATGATGATGATAGACTTTTATCTGCCATTAAGTGGTTTCTTGTGCTAGTCTTTGTACTTGTTGCTGTTGAGTTTGTCCCAACTCATGGTGACCTCATGTTTGCAGAGTGGAACTGCTCCGTAGGGTTTTCAAGGCTGTGACCTTTCTGAAGCAGATCGCCAAGCCTATCTTCCCATGAGCTTCTGGGCGAGTTTGAACCGCCAACCTTTCGGCTAGTAGTCAAGCACCACCCAGGGACTTCAGTCAGTGTGTTTAGTCCTTTACATACATTTTCTACAAGTACCTCACAGTAACTCTGATGGAGACAATATCATCTCCTTTCAGATGAGAAAAATTAAGGCTTTGAGAGGACAGGCAGCTACTGTCAGGCAGTTGGAATTCCAAAAGCATTCAAGATAGATGATGGACTTCATTCTGAGTAAAGACCCTTCAGGAGAGAAACGTGCACAACTTCCTTGAGTCGCAGTGTTTAATCATGTGTATTTAAAGTTCTGTTTTAGATCTCTTACTCAACTCTAAAGTGCTAAAGTTCATCTTATGTTATCTAATAAGAGGAGTAGATACGTTCTTCATAATAATCCTTTATAAGATAGTTAACAATCTAAGGGATTATCTCTTTTAATAACTTTTTTTGCCACCTACTGAAATATATATTCATTGTAGAATATGTGGAAAAAAATATAAAGATAAATAATAGTAATATTCAGTGCTCATGCTTTATGTAGATTACCTTGTTGAATCCTCTCAGTGATTTTGTGAGGTAATTACTAATACTATCCCAGTTTTTTAGATGAAAAAAGTGAGGTTTAAAGAATTAAGCATCTCACCTAAGATCATTCAGCTAATAAGTGGTGGTGCTGGAATTTGAACCTGGGCATTCTGACACCAGATCCCATCCTTAACCTACATTGTCTCCCCATACGAAGATATTTTTTTTAAACCCAGATCTTTTTCTAAGTGAGAGAGAGTATGTGTGTGTCTGTGTATGGTGTGTGTGCATGTAATGTATATACATTTGTATAGATATATGTGTGTGGTATGTGTGTATGCACATATATATTTGTATATATATATGTATATCTGTATTTATATTTATATCTATATCTATCTATCTATCTATATATATATACACACACATTGCTGTCAAGTTGATTCCAACTCATAGCGACCCTATAGGACAGAGTAGAACCGCCCCATAGAGTTTTCAAGAAATAGCTGGTGGATTCCGACTGCCAACCTTTTGGTTAGCAGCTGTAGCTCTTAACCACGGGGCCACCAAGGCTGTCTCTGTATGTCTTTTTATATACATATGTATGCATATATATATATGTACATTTAAGATCTTTATATGTGTGTGTGTATACATACACATGCATACATACACACTTTTTTATTAAATTTTTCAGCTCATATATTAATTTTATATCCTGCCTATTCACTTAGTATATCATCTTAATTTCCTTGTCACTAAAAATTCTCTAGACACCAGTTTTCATAGCTACAAAATATTCAGTTTTGTGGATATACTATAGATTGTTTAAAAATTGAGAAACAGTATGTAATAATGGTTTAGAGCTTGGGTTCTAGAACAAGACTGTGGGTTCAAATCCTGGCTCTGACAATTACTACCTATGCAAATTACTTAACTCCTCTGCCTCAATTTCCTAATGTGTAAAATGAAGGATGATTATATTTACATTATGGAGTTGTCATAAGAATTAATTATGCATGTTTTTAACGTTAATGCTTATATAAAGTAGTGCTTCTCAAACTCTAATATCCACCTGAAGAGCTTGTTAAAGTACAGATTCTGATTTAATAGGTCTAGGGTGGGGCCTGAGACTCTGTATTTGTCTTAAGCTCCTAGGTGATGTGCTACACTCTGAATAACAAAGGACCAAAGTACTTAGAATGATATCTGGCACCTAATAAGTACTCCATAAATGTTACCCATTTGGGTGGTTTCAGATCATTCAACTCTTAGAAATAGTGTGATGAATAAACATTTGCCCATAAATCTTTGCATTGCTGGTTAGTTCCCTAGGCTAGGCCCTGGAAATGGAATTACTGGTACTAAAATTACCCCATGTATGTTTTCTAAATCACCCAGTATTTCCTTCTCCCTTTTTTTAGTCACTTGAATATAACTGAAGGATTACTCATTTATAAAATTTTAGCACTTGAAGAAATTTTAGAGATCATCTACTACTGAAACTAAATCAACCCAACCTAACACTCATCCATCCCCATTTCCATTTAGAAATATGTATGGAGGGAGGGTTTTTTTTTTCTGGTTGTCACAACAACTGGAGAGAGTTACCTGCGTTTAGGGGGCAAGGACCAGAGAGGCTTAATGTCCTCAATGGTGGGACAGTCCTATATAACAAAGAATTGTCCTGCTCAGAAAACCAGTAACTTCCCCATTGAGACTCACTGAGACCATTTCCCTTTGTTTTATAGATGTGAAACAAAGGCCCAAGGAGGCCAGGTCTAAAGCACATTTCCACATCTGTAGTTGGGACATAAGTGTCTTGACTTCCAGTCCACTGCTCTTTACATTATGATAC